ATATGGTAATAACAGTTATATTACACAAACTGGGTGAGGTTTTTAATTAGCATTAGTGTTCCCTAGAGGGCGCCATCATTATTATACAACTAAAAGTATCTAAAAGCATTTGAGGTTATTTGTAATTATCGTTTGCGTTGTAGGAAGACGAATGCTGACGAGGTTACAGTTATGAACAAAATTTAACTTGCATTATCTGAATACGGCTTTTTATTCAAGTTTACCTCTATTCAAGATAACATTATTACATATAACAACATTATTATTTCAGTTAAAGTGGTTTTATTCTTTCAGTGCAGTTAAACGTTATACTTTAATTCACAGGCATTTTTTTCATTGTGTACACAATATATTAAGAAAATTAAAATGACGAGTATAGCTCGTTTTACCTTTTTTTTTTGCAACTTTTCATTATTTAAACACATACATCTCTCTCTCCTGTCTAACTACGTCTGTATCTTTGCTGTACAGTACCTGAGCCATCATTACGAATCTCACATTAGGTTTACTTTACAACAGTTTTTAGTTGCACACAAATTACAATCTCAGTATAACATAAAAAACTTTGTTCATTCTGTGTAAAATGCCCTATAACAAACGAGCTCGCTGTTCATTTTGTGTAAATAAACCATAGACTGCTTTCAGATAAGACACTAGATAATATTTTGCAATTATTATGAGTGATTTTCTAGGAAAACAGCTTTAGGTTAAAATCGAGATTCACCCTTGATTTACAAATAACTGTAAACTCTACACGATTCTTTCTATAATTGTTAGTATTTTCAATTTTAAATCTGTCAAGATATTATGTAGTTAGCTTGGAAGTTAATGACTGTGATACTTTCATATAAAGAATGTTTGAAGATGTTGAAAATGCTAAAATTGAAACAAACTATATTTCTTTAGCATTTTCTCAAAAGATATATATCTTAATTTCTGTTCATTCCTTTCTTGTTGCAATCACTAATAAAATAGTAGGAGTGTTTAAACATAAAGTTATATTATCAAGCACTTTTAGCAAAATACTTACATTATTAATTCAGAAGATCTAAGACAGATAAGCAAAAACAATGCAATAGATGGCGCTATCACATTTTAAATTTTGATGTCTCTTATAGAAAAAAAAAAAAAAGTCAGGATCACATAGTTGACACATACCGTTTTCTTCACGAATGAAACAAAGCCATAACCTTTTGACTTGAGTGTCTGGGGATCTCTCACCACTCGACAGTCTCTAAAACAGCAACGAAATGAAAAAGTGCAAACAATTATCATTTCCTAATTTAAATTTTAAAACAATGAACAAATTATTCAAAAGAAGTATAAAACACTAGATGCAAGTAATACTCAAACTAGGGTTAGGTAACCAGAATTCTGAAACCTTAAACTGGAACATTTCAGTAAATCATGGATTTCCAAGGCGTTGGGAGAGAGAGAACAATGCATCGAAACTATTTCGTTACGTTCTCTTTCGTTATGTTCTACATAAACAGGAATGAAAAAAATAATACTAAATTGTTGGTATGACCAAGTACTGTTTAATAGAAGGTCATTATTTCTATATTTGTATCATTCGCCTTGCTTACAAGTAACGAACGCGAGTTGGTGGGTGCGTGTGATAAACCCTGTAGTCCAACAGGACAGTAACAATCTTTTACCAAAATGTATCCTTCTGAATTACCGTTTCATTCTTTTGTACTGTTTCAAGTTCAAACTTCGCACGATATACATATAACTGAATGATAATTACAGAAACTTTACTTCGTAATACAGCGGAGAAAAACAAATTGTGTACAAAATGAATTATTCCAAACAAATATCACAGTATTTTAACTGCTTCGTGTTGCGTTGTTCTTTTATCACCCTGTATGTTTCGTAAAATGAACGCCTAAGCTTCTTATCCATAACATGAGACAAGTATTGACTCCAGGCCCAAATCTATCCATCTTGTCCTTTGTTTTTTCACACTGTACAGACACGAAAAACAAAAGAAAGTTATTACAAGTGACATCTCCTATGTTAGAAATTATTTATCTAAACAACACTCAAGTTAAGTCTGACAAGTTAATCTTCAGCCTCCAGCAGGAACACTGTACGCGGGTTTTGGACGTCAAGCCACATTTTCCCTACTTTCTCTGCTACCGTCTCTAAACAAGATTACGGGAGTGCACAATCAGCCCCATTACTTTGTCAATCATTCAGCAAATAACGCGTATGAGACTTTGAAAAAACAGCTCTACTGTAACAACCTGATGTCAAACAATGCAGTAGTCATTACTACACTGCAGTGACGTAACATAGTAGGTCTGCAGCATAAGGACAAGAAAACCAGTCTGTAAACTGCCAATACTATTATATACCATTGTTCTGAGGTCAAACAATTCAGTAATTACATTGCAATAACGTAACATAGCAGGTCTACTCCCAAAGAACCATACACTTAATCTGTAAATTGTCAATACTAATATATACTACTAGTAGAGACCGCAAGATATATAAGGTCAAATTAGTATCTTTATTGCAACAGTACTTCTTTAAATACAGGATATATAGAATAACACAAAATAATTCAAATCGCACACTCCGAAATCTGCAAGTCCAACTGGCTTAGCCCTAACATTAGTTAAGCCTTTGTTATTCGATAAAGAGATAAATTAACACTGTACCTAGTGTACGTTTTTTTTTTTTATAGTTTGGTTAGGGCTAAACTTTATAGGACTTAATACTATCAATAAATAAACTTATAATGTTATTCTGCGACCTAACGTTAGACCTTTTTAAAAACTTTGATAAGCTTTCAATATATTGTTGTACAAAATGTCTATTCAAATATATTTACATCCACCTTTTGTTTACATCCATTGAAATGAAGTGCGCGTATGCGCATTTAGATAGGAAGGTGCGCGCGAATTATTATAATAGATTCTTCTGATGTCAAACAATGCAGCAACTATTTCTACACTGCTGTAACATATTATAGCACGTCTACAGCATAACGACCACACACACATAGTCTGTAAACTTCCAATACTATAACGGTTTGTAGAATGCTATTAATGTTTTATGCAACTGGAGTGATGACAAGAGAATGCAGCTGGAATGAGCAAACATATAAAGGATAATTTATATACGCTTTGCATATTCATGAAAAAAATATAGAGTCTATACTGTTCTTTTGTCTGTTTTTGAATATTCTTATAAAGCTACATGAAGACTATCTACGCTAGTCTTGTCTTTAATTTTGAACTGATAGAAATCACCTAGGAAACATTATCTACTTTCAACTATTGGCTATTCTTATCTGACCAAATGGTGGGACTTGACCGTTACTTTTATAAACACTCACGACAAGAAGTGTGGAACGTATTTATTATGGTAACTGGACGTGAACCATGGAACTTGAACTCTACAGTCCAGTACACTCGGTCCCAATGTTATTATAATGGATTGACGTAGGGAGAATTGGACTCTCACTGCACTGTATTACGTCACTTACAGCAAAATGATTGAAGAACTGCCTGACCATGTCAATATGATTTTTAAGGGCCAGCCGCCGATTGATTTGCACGGACCACATCTTAAAGCCCCTGGGACTTCGGCAAGACACTGTAATAAAATATACATTTGACAATTTGTGTAAACTTATCTGAACTTTTATTACCAAATCTACAACATGGGAAACCTCAGCCAATTTGTGTAAACTTATCTGAACTTTTATTACCAAATCTACAACACGGGAAACCTCAGCCAATTTGTGTAACATTAACTGTTATTACCACATTTATACATCACTGGAAACCTCACCTAGTTTGTGTAATGTGAACTGTTATTACCATATCTACATCACTGTAAACCTCACCCAGTTTGTGTAATATTAACTGTTATTACCACATTTATACATCACTGGAAACCTCACCTAGTTTGTGTAATGTGAACTGTTATTACCATATCTACATCACTGTAAACCTCATCCAGTTTGTGTAATATTAACTATTATTACCATATCCACATCACGGGAAACCTCACCCAGTTTGTGTAATACTAACTGTTATTACCATATCTACATCACTGGAAACCTCACCCAGTTTGTGTAATACTAACTGTTATTACCATATCCACATCACGGGCTTACTTTATAGATATGCACGGTCTTGAAAGAAAAAACACATTTTTCATTCAGTAATGGCTTTTGCCATTGGAGATTAATGCAAAGAACAAAACTGTCCACAAATACATATTCAGCAGCATCTTTCAACTCCATTTGATCTGCTCCAGAATAGGGTATTCTTACTATAAACTTATTAAGTGATGTTTACTTTTTTCATGTGTGTAGTTTATTCTTACTAAGAGCTGGGTAACTATTGTTGCTAATTTGCTAATCGAAGTGCTCATTAATCGATTAGCACACCGTAACTCTTATAATCCGTACAAGCAATAAAGAAAAACAAAAACAGACGGGTATATTCTACCGTCTTAACTATTCCAACTTAGCAGATAGACTACTAATGTTGACCAAATACTACCATGCGATCGCCATTGTTGGTGTTTCAAGTCTTAACTATGCCAACTTAGCGGATAGACTACTAATGTTGACCAAATACTACCATGCGATCGCCATTGTTGGTGTTTCAAGTCTTAACTATGC